AGCTGGGAGGTAGACGAGGCTGTGAATGCATCACTTTGGAGCCATCAGAAATGATTGTGGTGAGTAGAGACACCGTCTCTTGTTCTCCCTCTCTGTTTTAGACTCGGTCTGTCTTTTGTCCCTCTCCCAAGCCCTTTTATCCTCCCATGCACTCTCCCATCTCTGGGCTTTGATAATATTTCTATTTTTCTATCTTTATTTGATGTCTGCAGTACCTTTCCCCCTCCCTCCATTGTCATTGTCCTGATCACCCTTTTCATCTTCTTTTTGCCCATTTCTGTTCTTTCTTCTCTGTTCTCTGCATTTTCTTATAGCATAAGCATTATCTACATCTTCAGTATTATAAAGGACCATATTTTTAATTGATATTACATCTAGAAGGTTATACGCTCTCTGTTCAGACTCGGCTTCAAAACGTATTGGACAGCGCTTAACAGTGCAAATCGATACTGAGACAAGCATCCTGCAAAAGCAACCCAAGAGATTGTCAAGACAAAGAGATACTCAAGTATCCGAGGCTGTGTTAAAAAGATTTCTTATATTTAAAACGATGTAAGTTTGTCCAGTTAATTTTGGTTTACCCAGCACTCTATTGCATGGTAACACCAGGATCCATGCTGTTTACTTCACCTGGCTGTGGTTTTAATTTAGTGTCTTTCAATATCACAAAGACTTCATTCAGGTCAAGTTTGCCATAACATTTAGTATATAAGAATGTTGTTTTTGTTTGCCTCCACAAGGTCGCGTACAAATTTCTGCCCTAATAGTTCTTCCTGCTCTCATTTTCCTCTTTTGCCTGAGCTTTGTCTGAGGGACTAGAAAGATACGATGGGATGAGATAAGCTGCAAAGTTTTATACAAAAAGAGGACAGGTAACACCAGTTCCACTGATGCTATTGAATAGGAAATAAAGAAATAAACTAAATAAATTTAACCCCAGATAACCCCCAGATAATCTGGTTGTTTTGGTGCACAGTGCTCTGTAGCAGAGTTGGAACAGGTTGTCTCCAGGGTGCGATGGGTCAGCAGTTATGATACCTGTCTATTTCCTGATTTACAGTTACTGAATAGAGGGCAATTGAGCACTCTTGTTCTTTTGCAGTCTGTCCATTTTAGTCTGTTCTTGTCCTTTTTGGTGTTTGATCCAAACCATACAGTGGTGGATGTGCAGAGAACACACTGGATTATTTCAGACTAGAAATCAGTTGATTTAAGTAAGTAGCAAATGATTATCAAGCCAGTTAAGCTAATGCTAACGCACATCTATGCTTTGATTGTGTGTGGTGTTTCTAAAGAAGGAACATGTAAAAACTGGTGGATGTTGTAAATTAAATAATGGTGCAAAACAAAGCTTTAGCCAGCTTGTAGTTTAGCTAACTAGCCCTTCAGCAACTACAATATAGAAGTTAAAGTACCTGTTGTGTTTTGCAGAGATAAAGAACAGGACAATTATGCAAGAGTAACAAAGTAACAACTGGGCCACTGTGTTTTTTTTCTTCTTCCCCCCATTGTTGCCCTTTCTCGGCTTCACCCAGTGGCTCTCCTTATCTCCTCGGCTCTTTTAAGATTGGTGGGAAGGGTGTTATCATATGACAAAAAAAAGCTTTCAGCACTCACATGTTCTTTGTGGCTTTTGGAAACCCTGCCCCAATAGTCTCAGGGACATCAGAACTTTCCTGGAAATGTTCTGCAGTGGAAAAAAAAGATGACAATAGTAAGGTGCTCTTTCAGCAAGGCGCCTAATCTTGAACTACACCCATGGGCCCATTCAGAGGCGATTGCTATGGTAACAGAGAGCAGCGATACTGACAGTCTTCCAGGTATGATTGTGTGATAGTTTGTGAATATGAAGTGCGGCATTGGGAAGAAGAGCCTGTGAATTTAGTCCACTCATTTGCCCGGGGCACGAGAGATACATTTAAATTCAATTTAATTGTGAAAAGAAGAGTGTGTGGCTGAGGGAATAAAATTGGTTTGAATTAAACTGGCCTTTGAATTAAATCACTGAATTAAACAGTTCACTGTGTGTGTCACACACAGTGAGTGAAGAGAGGTGGGTGAGGGTTAGAAAGAGACCAAATGAACCAGCTTATCAGAACCTTAGAAAGGACACAAGTTTTCTTGCTTCTTTGTATATGACTGTTTTTAAGTTACAAACAGCACTGCCTTGGAAAAGAAACTCCGAAGCAAGGCTGAATGATAATATGGAAACTATGGTGTGCTATATAGACAAAAGAATCCGGCCTTACTTCTTAACCTTTGAATTTAGGTTTGTTTAGTCAAGCGCATAGCCACGCAGTCTGCCTTTACAAACATTTGTGAATCGATGAGCTTGCTGAATTCCAGCTTGGTACTTTAATAGCATGCCAGATTCCTTCTCTCCTAGATATTCCATGATAAACTGTAAGTGGAAGCTTTTAGGAACCACAGGAACTCAGCCATGAAGTGTCAGACCACATGAAGTCACAGAGTGGGGTCATTTCACTTGATAACTGTAGAGTTCCAACCTTCCTCTGACATTAACATCAGCACAAGAAACTGTGTGCTGTGAGCTTCGTGACATGGGTTTCCAGCGCTAAAGAGCTACTATAGGTTTAATTTATTGGTGGCCCAAGAAATAACGTATGTCTGTATGCCAATTCAAAGAGCAATAAAAAAACAAGACCATCTTAGAGTGGTTGATAAATACTATCTGGAAAGCATTGTTCAAAAGGACCCCAGTAAGTTAAAACTAAAGAATTATTGAATAACCACTTTTTTGTATTGAAAATACCAAGAAATGCTAATCGAAACACACACTTTTATGCACACATGGGTAAATACACAAAGGGCAGAGGGACTGCGGTCCAGTCACACTGCATTGCAGCCAATCGGCTAATTAGGACCATGGGAATAGTAGAGGGAATATTATCTGTAGCTTTCGTCATGACTCTGGTCACAGGATGACAGGGACTGACATTCAAAGACTGACAGGGTGGGGTTGTTTGTGTTTGTGTTCGTGTCTGGTTGGGGGAATAGATGAAATTAAAAAGAAGCACGCAGCAAGTAAGGAATGAAAAATCGGAGAAAAAAAAATAGCAGATGATGCATGCTGCCAGGCAAATGATCAGATAGACGGAGTGGAATGTAAACCGGGAGATGAGTCGACGTGAAGTTAGTCACACAGGCATATTAAAATGTTTAGAGGAAGCGGGAAACTTAATATAGAAGTGAGTGTCGGTCAGAAACATAACTGGTGGTCATGGGACAGAATGGGTTATAATCAGTCGAGGAGACAGAGAGCCATGTGTATTACAGGCTCACAGGATGAATGTGAAAGTGTAACCTTCCCCTCCAGAATTTTTTGTGTGTAACCTTCAGGCTGTCTCATGAGCCTCGTTAAAATGAGGCGAGATGACATTTTTCACCGTGAGAAGGGGCACATTGATACCAATCCAGGCTCCTTTTACAACTGTTATTTGGTATTTTATTGCTGAACTATCCTTCACGCAGTTGTTTTAGAGACCATGACAGCTAAACTACCCACAACCCAGTTTTTACTCGGTATATTAGAGCAGAACTCCCTGAGACAAGGTTTTTCTTCTGTGTGTTACAACCCAGAGCAGCTGTTGAGTCTCTTTTCTACTGACAGAAAATCTTTGGGTCAAGCTTCACTTTCTTTCTATATTAGTTGTTTTTTCTTATTGTTTTACCTTCATAGATTTTATTCTATGTGACTACATGAAGGCACAAACGGCAGTCGCTTAAGGCTGTTCTTTAACTCTCTTCTACTTTTCTCAGCACAGAAGCTGTAGTCATCCCCACCACTCTTTGCGGCTGATCATGGGTCTGTATTAAGAACTGTATCAGTGACTGACACATGACTGACCTGAAGAGGGAAAAAGACACACACAGTGGTCACATACAAAGACGCCATTTGTGGTGTACATACGCTATGGTGAAATCTCTGATAGTAAACACATTCTTGCGAGATGAAAGGCTGAAGAAAACATTTCCTGTCGGATCTTCCCAAACAGTTTGATCTTTTTTTCATATATACTGTACAAGGCTGTAAAAAAGTCTTTGGCAAAATGATGGATGGAAAGAAGGTCACACTTAAACACGTTAAAACGTCACCTTACACTTTTACCATTTTTATTGATAAAGAAACATTACACATGTTTAAAAGTGTCATAATATTTAGTCAGGATAAAGTGGGGGAAAAAATGGTGGTAGCAGGATGACAAAGTCACAACAAAACCTAAAGCCAGGAATTAGGACTTTGTTTGGGGACTGTTGGTCTGAGCACTCTATCCATGCACAGTAAAGGCAATGGATTGATGTTACTGTATTTGCCAGCATGCTCTGACAAATGTTTTTTATGCTTGAGTGCATGAAAACATAGTAAACAAAGCTACTGTTGAGTCTCTTTTGCTTCTGGCTGCCCACTTTAGGGGGTGCTAAAACTTAAATCTTAAATCTTTAGGTGCGGGAAGTGATCTTTCCTGACTTCAGGCTAATATTAGTGTGGCAGGACCACACATGAACACAAATTTTGACAAGGAAAAAAATCGAAAACACTATAATTTTCTCTGATTCATGAACTGCCATGACTTAGACATTGTTATATAACCAGAGAGTGTGAGACTCAGAGAAACTAGCACAAAACTGATACTGAAATACAAGATAATTTAAAAAAAAAAGTTAAAAAAGCTAAGTTGAAAACAAATCCAAGAGCCTTGGGAAAGAAAATGAAGGCAGAGGAGCTGGGTTACATCATTTATTTATTGAAAAAGTCCGTTCATTGCTGGGATAATGAGATTGTTGACTTCACTTAGCATTATGCAACGAAGAAAGAAAACAAATTCCTCCTACAACAACAGACTCGCACAAAAAGGGAATGAATTGTATGGCCGGAATCTGTGTGCTCTGCTGTTTTTCTTCTTTTTTTTTTCTTCCTGCCTGATGAGGATATTTGTGTATTTACGGTTTCCTGGAGGAAACTGGTGGCTCAGTGTGTGCTTTGTGCGCGTGTCATACAGAGTCAGAGAGCGAGCGAGCGACCATGTGAGCAAGCCTGTCAGTATGCAACATGTCGAGCAGATGAACTCTGTCTCGAGGAGGACTACTCTCGCCAAGTTTGAGAAAGGAGGAGATGCGGCGCTCGTTCTTCTGCCCTCGTCGTCGATTTGTTTGTTTCTTCGTTTAATTTACTTGCCTTGTTTTCTCTCTTATTCTGGAGGAGTGACCCAGAGGATGAAATGTCGTGGGATCCCCCAGGATTTTGGACCTTGTCTTAAATTTTGGACGCTGCACTTCTATTCATCTTTTGTATAAAAGGGTTTCCCCGCTGTTTTTCTTCTTCTTGTTCTTCCCTTCTCCCCCTTGTGGTATTTCCTGCTTTTATGTGTTGTTCTGGTCCCCTTCTTGAGTCCAGATGAGTGTGCTCCGCTGGCACCGGCTCTCTGCGCTCTGGAAGAACTGGATGTTCAACCAGGAGCCAGCAGAAGAGCAGGACCAGATCCCAGAAGCCCTAGGACCTGAAGCAGAGCCACGGGGGGAGAAAGGGAACGCATTCAAGGATCACAACTCAGATTTGGAGAGCGTCACAGAATCTAAGACCCAAAGTTTGGGTTATAAGAAGCAGAGATCCGAATCTGACAGCCAGAATGTGGAATATAACAATCTGAACACACTCCCTAAGATCCAGAAGTCTGAACTGTTGAAACGTAGCTGTTCTGAGCCGTGCTCTCAGGTCACATACGCTGAGGATCGATCTTCCAGCTACCCCCAGACACCCGAAGGTTGTGGGGGCAAATCCCGTCAAAGTTTCTGCTCTGAGCAGAGTGTTCCCTGTATATTGCAGGTGGATAACGGTAGCGAGGGGGACGACAGCTTCTTGCAGAGGGAGGGTTCCCAACGGCGGTCCAGACGGCGCTTCAGAAGGGTCAACCCCAGGGGAGAGCGGGAACTGATCACAGACGGCCAAGACCCCGCCAGCTACAACACGGTAAGAATAAAAGCTTTACTAACAGCAAAGGCTAATGCTAACCACCCTCAGCATTTACAGTATTGACATGTTGCTTCTGTGTAAGTGGGAAGGCAATCAAAACGTACTCTTTGCCTCTTTCCAGTAGATCGCTTACACTGAGGCTGGTTGGGTTTTATATGTTTAAACAACTACTGTTTTTTCAGGGTCCTTTAAAAGATCTTCACACATTTAATTCTCTGAAGCTTGCTGACACCTCAACTATAATCATTAGCTTCAGTTTTAAAGTATCCTTGTGATGTGCACAGTGTGCAGAGAGCAGCTCATTCTCAATAAAGTTTTGGTTTAATGAATTAAAGAATAAGATGACAAAAAGCACCATAAAGCTAGAGGGGGATGGTAAAGCGCATGGGGAAACACTGTTTCGCAGTTTGCATGCATTGTTCTGGTATTTAACTTATTTGTCAATGCCACAGAGAAAACAAATGCCGGAGGCATTGCTGTCTAACGTGCATAAAAGCTGAATTTTGTTAGGAAAAACAACGTTTCTCTGAAGGTCTGTTGAACCAAAGTTGTGTAGGAAAAGTATTAAAGCTGAGCGTGTAGGAACTTCCCTCTCTGCGATAGCATCACTGTGGCCAGAAGTGTGTCAGTTACAGTTTTAACTAATCACTAGAAGCCACGCTTTGCCACACACAGTCACAAAGGCGCGCACACACAAACGAACTTCCACACTCAGGTCATATGCACACTTTTCCCAGCTCGTGCAAAGCTCCCCGGAGCATTGCGACGGGGCTTAATGCAGAGTTTAAAGCGTCCTCTGTCGACCCTACCTGCCTCTGTGGTCTCATGGTGATTGTTCCACTTTTTAAAATTACATTTCTAGCCTTCAGCGTCGCCGAATCCCACCACATTCTTTTCTGTGACTGCCCTTTATTATGTAAAGGCTATCTGCTCAGATGTGCTAGCGCAGCGCTGCTCCAGAGAAGCAGGACTAAAACAGATGAGAGATATAGAGAATTACTTTAGGAGTGCATGGAATTGGAGCAATATTGGACAGCAAAGACTCAACTGACACAAGGGATTGTTGTTCTTTGACATGTGTTGCATAGTGGTGCGCTTGCCTTTGTTCATTAAGAATACAATGATGTCTTATGTTGTGCTAATTTCACTTTGACAAGACGTAGTTTGCATATTTTGCTGTTGTGACTATTTCTTGTTTCTCTTCCCTTTTCATGCAACCGCTCAGGATTATGTCAACAACCAGGTAGGATGAAATACAAGACATGAAACTTTTCTGCCTGTGTGTCTGTCTGTGTCGGGCGTTTTGTGTTCATGTCTCTGTCATGTATGTGTTCAGTGTGCTTGTGCGTGCATGGCTGTTTATATGAGTCACTTTGGGTTCAGGCACCTGTTTAGAAACCGGCAGTCCTGTGGGGAGGTTGTCGTCGTCATATTTAGAGGCTGCCACACACATGCACACTGCGCTGTCTGCTGACACTGTGGGTGGCAGATAGGAATAAACAGACAGAGGAATTAACAGATGCATGCCGGGAACAACATTGCCTTGCTAGGCAGAGATGGGTTTAATGTAATAGTGTAAGTTTCAGATTCCCCCTCAGATGGAAGTCACATCATTGGCACATGTCCCTCGAAAGTGGAAACTTGTGATTTGTTTTGTGCGATGAGGGCTGTCGGTGGCACAAGTTGGAAATTTCCACACATTACCCCACAAAATAATAATAAAAATCAATGCTTATTATGCCCCGATAGTCCAATCAAATCAGTCGTCATTTGTGACATAAAGGAGTTGCTTTAGAAGTACTACTGGCTTTTCTACTTGGCTTCAGATGAAACAGACACGTTAGCTTAAGTTCTGTGTTTGCTGCTGTGGAGAACAAGGTTTATTGATTTGCTGATTGATCATTGGGTCAGGATTTAAAGGTGACACTTTTCCCTTTGTAAAGCAGCTGGGCTAATAAGAAAAAATCATCCATGGTTTTCCTGTGAGACGCACGCAGTGTAATGTTAATGCGTCTGCGCCGGCGATGGCCGTTGCCGGAGGAGTAATGTTTTCACGTCGTTTGTCCATCCATCTGTCTTTCCGTGCGCTCCGTTTGTGCGAACACATCATCTCAGCAACACCTTCAGGGTACATCTTCAGATTTTGTGCAAATGTTCACCCGAACTCAAAGATGAACTCATTACATTTTGGTCCTCAAAGGTCAGAGTCACTGTGACCTCACTTCTTTCCCATTGTTATGTATATGATACAACAGGGATTCCTTTTACGAGGGCACAAACACCCACTTGGATTTGAGCCTTACTGGTTTGAATGATGATCATGTCAACGTGTTTGTGGCCACAAATCAAATCACATGGTAGCATAAAACTGTCTGTAACAGGGGTCTCGAACATGCACGCGCCTCTTTGGTCCATCTCCAGTGACTTTGTGTGGCACTGACAGATAAACAAAGACGTAAACAAAGGTCGATATTGATCATTTGTAATTAGCATCGTAAGTAATTCTCTACAATCTGAAATTGTAAAGCTCTTTAGTTTACAAACCAAAAACAAAAAAAGGTTTTGATATTTATATTTTCACACTTATTATTTGCATCATAGCCCACATCCGTCACTTGATGCCTTTTAAGTTCTCTGAACCTCAATAGCAGCAGCTAACACAGATGTATTCACTTAAATAGCTCGTCCTGAATTCAGCTGACTTTGAACTCCAATAAATCCTAAGAGGTTTGAAGAGGCAAATAGAGAGTTTAAAAATGTGTGGACAGCTTTCTTTGCTTTCGCTGCCAACGCTGTGACGAGGCTCGTCGGTATGCTTTATCCGCAGCTGGTCTGTTAGGATTTTTATTTTGGTATTTTAGTGTTCTTGTCAAAATCTGCTCAAAAGTGGCTCTTTTATGTGATAAAAGCTTGCCGACGCCTGTTCTCACAGGGAAACTTGATAAAATGCTGACACTATTTATCTAAAAGGTCAAAGGTCAAGCCGTGACAGACATGGATGTATACTCTAACTTGATTAGTTGGTGGCTGCTTACAAATATGAGACAGGGATTCTGTTTCTTTTTGTTTGTTTTCTGTTTGTTTTTTTCTGGTTTCCCATTTGCGATGATATAGTGACAGCATGAGGATAAAACCCCTTTCTGTCAATGCATATTGTACATGCACACATACACACGCTCAAAGCAGCGCTGTGGTTCTGGCAGTGGATCAGAGGATGTTGTTTAGAGGCCTTATTGAACCATAATAACATCAGTAATCCATTATCGCTGCTCTGTGCTGGTGTCTGGTGTGTCTTGCTCGCTCTTAATAGCTTCTGTTGGAGTGAATGAAGTTCCTGAAGCTATGAATTACGACGAGCCCAAAAAGATGATTCACAAAAACCCCGAAAAGGGGTATTTCTCCTAAACGAAGAATGCAACACAATAATTACAGTAATTATTATAAATCAAACCAATGAGTTGGTCTGCTGGCTTTAAATTTTAAAGTTTCAGAGGCAGAGAAAGATAAATGTCTGTAAGATCGATGTTTATTTTATTACCCACTGTTACTTCTTTTATTCTGTGTGATGACTGATACGGCTGCGATTGATCCAGAAACCTGACTCCTCTCTGCCAGCGAGGTGCTAGACAGAAGCTCCTGCGCTCTCTTATTACTATAACAGACCACTGGGATTTACTGATGACTCAGATTCACACACCCCCCACACACACACACGTGTACACACACACACATTCACATGCTGCACAGATACAGAGTCACTTCATTTAGACATCAGATGCTTCACCGGGTTACTGCCTTTCTCCTGCCGGGCAGGATAGATAGATGAACCCATCACCTCATTTGCCTTGCGGGGGAAACCTGCTCTATGGGCTTTTTAGAGCCAGGCTACTCCATGGAACCCCGGGATCATTAATTTAACATGATGCAGGTTCAGCCATCTGCACAGTTCACCACTAGAATAAAATCAGGAGAGTGTTGTTATGCTTTTTTTTTTCTTTTCTCCTCACCAGTTGGGCCACTTTCTCAGTTTAACTCGTGATTTTTCAGAAAAAATAAAAGCAGGTTGCCACGTGCAGGTGTTTGGCACATTCGATTTGCTTTCAAAGTCTTTGTTTTGAACATTTTGTTTTGGGGCTCGTTTGTCACTGTCTATACGTGTGAATTTGTGATCATGCTTTTGGAGCATGAAGCAGCATCCTCTCAGCTGCTGAGTGTCGCTACACAACAGATCGGAAACACTCGTCTCTTGCAACGGCTGTGGTTACTTAACATCCTGGAGGCAAAACGTCTGACGTCTGCTGCTTTTTCTTCTTTTTTTCCTTTTCTCTCCACTCTACAAAACACGTTAGCATTCGTTTTTAATCTCACACTAAAAATGAGCCGAGTATGCAAAACTGCATTATTAACGAGAAACATCGGGCACTGATGTCCTACTGTTAATTCCTCTAGATGGGGGGGAAGACTGAAAGCTTCAGCTTCCTGAAGCCTAAAGTTGTATTTAAGACTATTGTAGTCACGTTCCACTGTCAGGTTGCCTTTACTGGAAGGCGCTGCACACAGGAAGGAGCAAATCGCACCAGTCTTGTTCCTAAATTGCAGCAACCCACACTGAGCGTGACGTGTAGCTAGACATGAATGAATGTTATTTATTTCCTCTTTTTACACTGTTAACTGGTTGAGTGGACTACAAGCACCACTTGGGACCGTACACCTCTATCAGTATTTTGTGTTATACAAAATTACAGATGCAGTTTTGACTGCTGGGCCTTATTTTTTATTTATTGGTGATTGTGTGATTTGGGCGTAAGGAAAACAAATTTTGTCTCTTACAAACACACCTCCCATTGCTTAAAAGCTTGATTAAATTGTTTGTATTGTATTACCCATTTAATACTTTCATTATATTACAGAGTTTCAGTTTAATGGTCCATTAGGAGTGACTTTAACGCGGTGATGTCGTCTTCAGCTGTATCATTTTAACTCAATTTGATGAGCTTGTGCTTGTCATGCAGCTGCAGTACTTTGGTTACCTCACTGCTTAGAATCAGGTTAAATCTAAGGTTGCATTCCTCACGCGGTGACTAGGTGTGACTCATACGCATGCTTTGTCATAGCAGTGTCAACCTGGGGATGTGAGAAGTATTGCTCTGCATCATCCTTCACCTTCCCCTGAGATTGGAAAATCACTAAGATGAGGCGACACAAAGATGCTTTCTCATGTTTGGTTGCTGTTTTTGATTAGACGGGTCTGCTAACCAGGCCTGGGAGTTTCTCTGATTTTTCTCCTTGGCTGGGGAAAATTTCTCTAACTTCCAACAGGCTGGTTTTAGCTCACCAAGCAGAGTTTGGCTTGGCATTGCACACTGATGAAGTTGTTAAATTTCCGATAATATTCCCGGCTTGGTTCTCGTTGTCATTAGTGTGCTTGCGTGCGTGGTTTCGCAAAGCTCGCGTGTGCCATGTGTATGCTTAATTCATAATGTTTCGGGGATGTGCCTGGCTTTTCAGTTTTGCTTCACATCTGTGGATTTAAATGTCCATACGTCCGTTATGGCACCTTCGTGGATTTCTTATCTAGAGCATATTTGCAATGCAAACTATTTAACTTGATATGCTGACATTTTCCCCCCCATTTACATATCAATAAGGCATAAAAATACATGATGCCTGCATTCTCTTATGCCAAATTATTTGTAATAATTCAGATCATTGCCACATTACATTTGCTCCTAATTTTTCCTTTTAGTAAAGTATCCAAATAAATAATCGGCAGGACAGGATTGGAAAGGGCAAGCGAAAATCATGTTGGCATTCAGCAGCCAAGGAAAGAGAATCCTCCTGACGAGAGGAGTGACAGCTTTATTTTGATGTAGATTGTCAAATGTCTTCTCACTCTCACATATTTTGTAAGGCAGAGATGCCATAACAGCAAGCTTTAAAAATACCTAAGAGGGAGGGGAAAGGGGAGGGCAGGTAGGATAGAGCAGAATGGGAAAATAGAAGTAGGCATAAGATGACAAGCATGAAGTGGTGAAAAGCAAATGGAATGATAAGTTAACAGGGACTAAAAAAAGATATTGTGAGATCTTGTATATATGCATGAGAAGTCGGCTGAAATGAAGCAGAGGGGTTACGGAAGGAACAAGGAATGTGAAACAGGGGTTGACAGTTTATGGAAAAGATGAGTGGGTTTGCAGCTGAAGGTGGAGCGGTAAGTTGTGGGGATGGAGAGCTGAGGCAGAA